GTGGGTCTCTGTGTGTCTCTGTGAGTCTCTGTGAATCTCTGTGTGTCTCTGTGGGTCTCTGTGTGTCTCTGTGAGTCTCTGTGAGTCTCTGTGTGAGTCTTTGTGTGTCTCTGTGAGTCTCTGTGAGTCTCTGTGAGTCTCTGTGGGTCGCTGTGTGTCTCTGTGTGTCTATGTGAGTCTCTGTGGGTCTCTGTGAGTCGCTGTGTGTCTCTGTGAGTCTCTGTGTGTCTCTGTGAGTCTCTGTGAGTCTCTGTGTGTCTCTGTGGGTCTCTGTGAGTCTCTGTGTGTCTATGTGAGTCTCTGTGTGTCTCTGTGGGTCTCTGTGTGTCTATGTGAGTCTCTGTGGGTCTCTGTGAGTCTCTGTGTGTCTCTGTGAGTCTCTGTGGGTCTCTGTGTGTCTCTGTGAGTCTCTGTGTGTCTCTGTGTGTCTCTGTGGGTCTCCGTGAGTCTCTGTGAGTCTCTGTGAGTCTCTGTGAGTCTCTGTGTGTCTCTATGGGTCTCTGTGGGTCTCGGAGTGTCTCTGTGGGTCTCTGTGAATCTCTGTGGGTCTCTGTGAGTCTCTGTGTGTCTCTGTGAGTCTATGTGTGTCTCTGTGTGTCTCTGTGAATCTCTGTGAGTATCTGTGTGTCTCGGAGTGTCTCTGTGGGTCTCTGTGGGTCTCTGTGTGTCTCTGTGGGTCTCTGTGAGTCTCTGTGTGTCTCTGTGTGTCTCTGTGGGTCTCTGTGGGTCTCTGTGAGTCTCTGTGAGTCTCTGTGTTTCTCTGTGAGTCTCTGTGAGTCTCTGTGTGTCTCTATGGGTCTCTGTGGGTCTCGGAGTGTCTCTGTGGGTCTCTGTGAGTGTCTGTCGGTCTCTGTGAGTCTCTCTGCGCCTCTGTGAGTCTCTCTAATTCTCTGTGGGTCTCTGTGAGTCTCTGTGAGTCTCTGTGTTTCTCTGTGGGTCTCTGTGGGTCTCGGAGTGTCTCTGTGGGTCTCTTTGAATCTCTGTGGGTCTCTGTGAGTCGCTGTGTGTCTCTGTGAGTCTCTGTGAGTATCTGTGTGTCTCGGAGTGTCTCTGTGGGTCTCTGTGTGTCTCTGTGTGTCTCTGTGGGTCTCTGTGGGTGTCTGTGCGTCTCTGTGGGTCTCTGTGTGTCTCTTTGGGTCTCTGTGAGTCTCTGTGTGTCTCTTGTGAGTCTCTTTGAGTCTCTGTGAGTCTCTGTGGGTCTCTGTGGGTCTCTGTGAGTCTCTGTGGGTCTCTGTGAGTCTCTGTGGGTCTCTGTGGGTGTCTGTGGCTCTATGTGGGTCTCTGTGGGTCTCTGTGGGTCTCTGTGGGTGTCTCTGTGGGTCTCTGTGGGTGTCTGTGTGTCTCTGTGTGTCTCGGAGTGTCTCTGTGAGTCTATGTGGGTCTCTGTGTGTCTCTGTGTGTCTCTGTGAGTCTCTGTGTGTCTCTGTTAGTATCTGTGAGTCTCTGTGGGTCTCTGTGGGTCTCTGTGTGTCTCTGTGGGTCTCTGTGTGTCTCTGTGGGTCTCCGTGAGTCTCTGTGAGTCTCTGTGAGTCTCTGTGTGTCTATGTGAGTCTCTGTGTGTCTCTGTGGGTCTCCGTGAGTCTCTGTGAGTCTCTGTGAGTCTCTGTGGGTCTCTGTGTGTCTCTGTGTGTCTCTGTGAGTCTCTGTGGGTCTCTGTGTGTCTCTGTGAGTCTCTGTGGGTCTCTGTGAGTCTCTGTGAGTCTCTGTGGGTCTCTGTGAGTCTCTGTGAGTCTCTGTGGGTCTCTGTGGGTCTCTGTGTGTCTCTGTAGGTCTCTGTGTGTCTCTGTGGGTCTCTGTGAGTCTCTGTGAGTCTCTGTGGGTCTCTGTGGGTCTCTGTGGGTGTCGGTGCGTCTCTGTGGGTCTCGGAGTGTCTCTGTGGGTCTCTGTGAATCTCTGTGGGTCTCTGTGAGTCTCTGTGTGTCTCTGTGAGTCTATGTGTGTCTCTGTGTGTCTCTGTGAATCTCTGTGAGTATCTGTGTGTCTCGGAGTGTCTCTGTGGGTCTCTGTGGGTCTCTGTGTGTCTCTGTGGGTCTCTGTGGGTCTCTGTGGGTGTCTGTGCGTCTCTGTGGGTCTCTGTGTGTCTCTGTGGGTCTCTGTGTGTCTCTTTGAGTCTCTGTGAGTCTCTGTGGGTCTCTGTGGGTCTCTGTGAGTCTCTGTGGGTCTCTGTGAGTCTCTGTGTGTCTCTTTGAGTCTCTGTGAGTCTCTGTGGGTCCCTGTGAGTCTCTGTGAGTCTCTGTGTGTCTCTTTGAGTCTCTGTGAGTCTCTGTGGGTCTCTGTGAGTCTCTGTGAGTCTCTGTGAGTGTCTCTGTGTGTCTCTGTGGGTGTCTGTTGCTCTATGTGGGTCGCTGTGAGTGTCTCTGTGGGTCTCTGTGGGTCTCTGTGAGTCTCTGTGAGTCTCTGTGTTTCTCTGTGAGTCTCTGTGGGACTCTGTGGGTGTCTGTGTGTCTCTGTGTGTCTCGGAGTGTCTCTGTGAGTCTATGTGGGTCTCTGTGTGTCTCTGTGTGTCTCTGTGAGTCTCTGTGGGTCTGTGTGAGTCTCTGTGTTTCTCTGTGAGTCTCTGTGGGTCTCTGTGGGTCTCTGTGTGTCTCTGTAGGTCTCTGTGTGTCTCTGTGGGTCTCTGTGAGTCTCTGTGAGTCTCTGTGGGTCTCT